TTCTCTGGGCACCCTGTGCCAGCGCCTCAGCACCCTCCCAGGGAAGAGCTTCTGCCTCAGAGCTCATCTCAATCTCCCCTCTGGCAGGTTAAAGCCATTCCCCTTGTCCTGTCCCTACAGGCCCTCGTCCAAAGCCCCTCTCTAGGTTTCTTGTTGGCCTCTTTAGGTATTGCAAGACTGTTATAAGGTCTCCCCTGACCCCTCTTTTCTTTTCTCAGCACTGCATCGCTGTACCCGGGGTCATTCCAGGAGGTGCCTGAGGCTTCCCCTTGCACCCATCAGCCCAAGCAATCATGCAGGAGGAGTAGCTGGGAAGTTGGGGGGTATATTCCACCCTTGGCATGAAAGAGACACCAGCACGGGACTGCCAGTGGGCTGGGGAGAGCAGTAGGCACGTAACTCTATGGGAGGCACAGAGCGGGCTCTGTTTGTGGTGCTTAAGGAACATGTCTAGTTTAATTTAAGGGATAAGCAGCAGCATCCTCAGATGTGGTTCTCTCTCCTTGGTTTTCAGCAGCTCTCCAGCCTGCCTGGCTCTGCTCTGCGGCTGTCAGTCCCTCCCTGGGATGAAGCCCTTGGGCTTGAATTCTTTGGCATTAGGATTTGGCAGTTGGTTCGCTCATTCTGTGTATTTGCTCTCTTGTACCTACAACTGATTTGCAAATCTGCATCTGGTTTTGGTTTTATTCTAATAAGAGCAGGGATTATTGTCAGATCTGGATCAAGCAGGTTTGCCTGTAAGAGCTGGGGGTGCTTCTCTCCACAGTCCATTGCCTCAAGCCCAGGGGATTGGAGGAAAAGTGAGGAGGGTCAGGCAGCATCTCCGAAAGAAACAGTTGTTCTATGTGGTTTCTAAAACTTGAGCTGTGATTACTTTTTGCCTTCCCCGTGAAAGCAGATAACTTCTGCAGGCAGCAGCTGGCGGGTGTGTGAACCACATGGCTGGGATAAATGGTGGCAATAAGAGGTGGTGAAAACAGTCCCTGAGGAACACTTCCCTCATCCATACAGAAAAGTTGAACCCACAATGGATGAGCACAGCTCCTGTGGGGAAGCAGAGCTCTGGTCTTCATGCAGACCTCCTTAGCAAGGGGAAATGGGTCCTGGGCAGTTGGCTCAGCTTGTCCATCCAACCTTTCACATATCCTCTGCAAAGATGATGTTTTACTGGTGCTAAAATGAGGAAATAGTGGTTTTGCCTGGTAACATGTTCTGTGGTCTGCAGCTGGTGTCTCTGTGGCCCAGAGCTGTATGAACAGGGACCTCTCACTGAGATGATCCTGAAAACTAAACAACCAAAGCCTGAGCTTCACTGACTCATGCACCTCCTGATGCTGAGGTGCTTTGGGAAAGTATGAACCCAACACCTACATCCCTGAATTTCCACTAGTGCTGTCAACCTTACCACGAGAGCATCCATATGTGTGAAGTTCAGGTTTGGCAGCGGTACTGTACAAAGTCCATCCTCACTGCAAAGATTCCAGCAGCCTCACTGCAGTCAGTGCAGGTTTGTAATGACTGACGTGGAGCTGAGTATTCATAATGTAAATCTGGTGAATTGCAAACCAAAGCAGGTTTCAAAGTGCTTTCTTGGCATGTAGTTAACGTCTTGCTAACTCCAACTCTGAAGTATTGTGCCAAATAACTAGACACTGCCTGAAGTCCAACCAGGGAGGTTGTCACCTTGGCAAGATGCATTTAAATGTGACATGAGGTCATGTTTGCATCATATTTATGGTTATGGCAAAGGACAGATATGTTGCAGTGTTTTGATTGCTCTTGCAGATGGGATCAAATTGTCCCTTAACCACATTAAAGAAATGAGATTATGAGCTGGCTGCTGTAGCACCATTCCACTAAGATGATTAGGAACAATTTGGTCCTGCCTGCAAACACCTTAATGAAATGAGGAAACTACTCAAAGTAGTTGAATTTGTGGTGTAGAAATGACTTGCATTCCATGATTCTATGGGTTTACACCAGAAAACCTTCACTAGCTCCTCTGGCTGTCAGCCACTGGTGAGGGGCAGTGGCAGAGCAGGGGCATGGTGCCTGGTTTGGGAATTGGGGCTGGGAGCACAGCAGCACCAGTGACAGGAGCAAGGGAGCAGCGATGGGTTCTCTCCGCTTTGACAATCTTTAATTGACACCCCAAAAACCCCAAGTGAAGGTTGCTGAACACGTTGCATGTAATAAAAACAAATTGGTTCTGAAATGTTATTGTTTAAAGGAAAAGGTCTGCTCTTCCCTGGCCTGCTCGCTTTATCCAAGCCTTCCCACTGAGTCAAATCTGTGCTGTGACCTTGCCCGCTCCTAGGACATTGGTGCTGGATGTGTATAATTACAATATGTACATTGATGCGGGGGTTCCAAAGTTGTTGATCAGCAGAGGAGATACAGGTGATGAGCTGAGAACCCAAAGGTGCATTTATACCCAGCTGCCAGAACTGGCACAGAGCAGGGGGTGTGTGTTTGTTCCGTAAGGTATTGAGGTGTTTGGCAGGAAAAGCTCCTGTTTGCTTTGGGGCACTCTGAGACTGGATGAGAACAGCAGAGTTTAAAGCCTTCCTTGGTGGTGGCTCTTGATGGTAACGACCAGGGTATCCTCTGCCAAAACAAGAAAAAAGCATCACCCTCTTCACCATTCTCGTGTGTTTCCCATGCTCTGGCATGTGCACAGGCATCTGCACAGGGGAAGGATTTCACAAACAATGAATGGCAAAAGCAGGAAGGGAATCACAAGGGTTTTCCATTGAGGGTGTCTGGACCAACTGTTAAGATAGGAGGTTTTAGGACATGGGTAGTCTTGAGTCTTCTCAACATCAGTGGTCCTAAGATGGGCCAGTTTTCAGAGTATCTCCCATTTTTATCATAAAGGTTAATTGTGTTTTAGATGCCTTTGGCCACATGAACACTAAAGATGTGGCAGTTTCTAACCTCAGTATGTATAAAGGTGGGGAATCAACTTCCACACCGTGGCATCCGCATAGGAGGCATGTACACTGGATTTATGTGTGTCCACTGCCTCGGAGCAGGATCCGAGCGTGGCACTGCTCCACATCGAAAGGAAATCACAGCTTATAATATTCAACTGGTTACTAACAGCCCCCACCCAGCCCAGGTTTAATATTAGAACTATTTTTCACGTTGAAACCGAAATAGCACAAAATATGGGCTTGCTGTAATTGTTGTTAGATTATGTGTCACCCTGATAAGATGTAACAAATATTTTCCTACACCGGAGGGCCTGTTTCCCTGCAAGTAATGGATGGAGAAACTTCTCATAGTGGGTAGGCAATCGGTCGTAAAAACTTCACTGGGAAGATTAATGCACTAAGTGCAACCTTTGTGGTAAATAGGAAGAAAAGAATTAAAATACTAGTTTGTTCTTTCATGTTGAATATTAATAACTAAACTTATTTAGTGGGAACGTTCCTTGTTGCTTCCCCCTTCAAGGGGCAGCTTTGTGTCGGGTAGTATTTCTAGTTTTTTATGAAGCTCCTCCAGAAGCAGTTGGTGGATGTGGTGCAATGAGTCTTTCAGCAGAACTATTTTTATCAGTAATATGAAGGAGTATTTTCATGGGCAGAGCTCTGACACCCATAAGTCTACTGGATGTCACTTAATAGGCCAGATAAACATTGCCTCGCCGTTTAGCATGGAAGGATTTTCCCTTTGTACCACAGCTTTATGTCTTCCATGGACACTTCCTGGCTATTAGAGAGTTGGCACCCTTGGGACAGCTCCCCAGACCAGGTGCACAGTCACAGATGTGACAGGGGCTTGTGTGCTGGTGCAGGAACGTTGCTGTAAAGAATAAAGCGAGGCCCCTCTTGTCATGAGCTGATTTGCACCCAGTGAAGCCATGAGTGCTGCTGCTTTTCCATGTGTATTTTGAGGTCCTTTTCTATCTAAAGCACACTCTGTATGTGCAGTCACAGGTGACGGGTACCATCAGTCACAAAGTCACTCTGAAACCAGGGGTGGGTGGAACTGCTCATTATCAGTGTCTTGTGCACTGTTCACCTCTTCCCAGGTCTTCACTTGCTGGCTGAGCCTGCCAGCTTCTCAGCTTGAGTTGTCCAGAACATCACTTGTTGTGCTACTTGTGAAGACAGATCTTTCTACCCAGTTTCACAGAGCTTGTATTATAAAGAACATTTTGCAAGCAAAGAACTAATTGGTTTGCTAAAGGAGAAATCTCTGCCCTCTCCTGGCAGTGGCAGTGGGAGCAGTAGTCTCAGGATGCCGGTATTCTGGAGGCACAAGCCTTCACAGCGCTGGCAGGGCTCTTGCTGCTGTGTGAACAGCCAAAATCATCAGTAGAAAGCCAAAGCCATCAAACATTAAGTGGGACTTTGAACAGCTCTGGCCTTCAGGGTTATTTAGGGCTTATTCAAACTTCTGAATTGATATTTCAAAAACTCAAAGGAAAATGGTACTTAAATTCTGAAGTATCTACATTCATCATTGCCAAGAAGGTTGTTCAAACTGCAACAGACAAAAAAAGGTTCAATTTTGACCACGCAGCAGCTCAATTCACTGGGTCTCTCCATCGTGCCATAGCACTAAAACTGAACGTGCCATCCTGCCACAGTAGAAACAGGTTTTGGAGGCACTGAGAGTCTGATGGAGAATTGCTATCTCTTGCCTTTGGAGACAGTAAGAGTCAATAAATCCATGTTGTACAAACCAAGCATATCGTGAATAGGAGACTTAGGTTAAGTCACCCACACCCATGCAGAGCAGGCTTCCATGATTAGTCTGCAAATTTTTCCTGATCCTGGGTGATGAAGAAAGTGGGGGTAGAACACAGGGATAAAGGGGAAGCATTTCTTATCTAATCTGCTTTAAGAAAACCCAACGAAAGGTTAACTGAACTGGAACTCTAAAAAAGTCCCATGCCTATTCCCTTCCTTGGCTGTAGATCTATTTTTGTGTGGCAGTTAATTTCAACTTATTTCTTGAGCAGTCAGTGCCAGGCAGACACACACAGGCTCCCACTATTGTTGAAATATTTTATTATAAAGCACTTCAGACAAACTTTGATTCAAAAAAAGAAAAAAATTCTCATCTGTAAAACAAAACTATTTTAAAACAACATTCATAAAGAAAATAGACTGTTCTTAAGCGTCAGCTTCAGTTAGAGCTCTTCTGTAATGAAATCTAAAGACAAAACTGACGGGTCCAGAACTGTTAATTTCATATATACTCATAAAAGGGAGCCTAAAGTCAGGGATCAGGGAGCATCGTATTGTTGGTAGCGCAACAGGAACACTTGACAGTTCTGGCCTAACAGAGTCCAACATTTAAATACTTTCCAGTCCCCAAAGAGACAAACCATTAACATTTCTCATTTGATAACCAAGCCAGCCCTGGGTAAGGGTTAAAGCCACTTCAAAGCATCTAAGGTGATCAGCTCTTCATTTCATGTACTTCTCCTGTTGATCAGCCAAGATTTTTGCAGAGGATTTGGCATCATAGAACAGTTCATTTATTTCTTCAATATGCTCTTTCTCAATGCTGTCTTTCCCATTAACCTTGGCCAGCAGGTTAGCTGGGGTCAGGAGCTGCACAGCATACCTGTGATCAAACAGAGATGGAGGAACTGGCACAAATCAGCGCTTCCCAGTGAACTGAGGGTATGTAGGGGTGGGAGATGTGTCAGGAAACATACAGCTCTACCAGCAGCAAGACCACGCTGCGAGACCCTCCAGCAGAGGGAAGAGGAGGAATACCGCTCCTTTTAACGTCAGCACTGTTCTTAATACACTGCATTACTGCAGGGGAGAGGTTTGTCTCCCGGCCAGGAGTGAGCTCTCCTGCAGTGTTTTAAGACCCAGCCATACTGTGCTCAACTCACCTTAAGGTTGTCTTGGTACCGATTTCCCCTAAGTGGTTTAGGGATTCTTCACTAATATTAATTCCTTCTGTCTGAGCACGAAGTTTTATGATCTGTTGAGATGAAGAAGTAAGTGAGGTACCAGTGCAAACAATTAGCATGCTAAACCCCTTAGCTTAGGATGTGGAAACTTCCAACTTGAGATGAGACATACTATAAAACAAGATGGTGTGGGGAGTTGTGCCAGTCTAACTTGCCACTAAACTAGAATTTATATGATTCTAAAGGTTTGAATAGGCAAATATAATGGTGAAAAACTGATGATCACAAAAGGCAGGTGAAGTGACTCTTGTGGACTACTAACCCTTTGTAATTCTGCATGGATAGCAAAGTGTATTGACTAATAGGAGCAAAAATATGAGAACTTACACAGGAAAACTAACGTGTGCAAGAGTAAGTGAGACAGCTGAAGTCTTACCGACACCGGTTCCTGCATTTTGCAGTACATCACTGCTGCTGTACAGCAGAGCCCTCCAAAAGCCATACAGAAAGCTATACCCCTTCCTTAGCAACTCACAACATGCTGCTTATTCAATTGACAAGAAGATAGTAAAATAAATCAAAAAGTTACTTTGTATGATTCACCTATTCCTGCAAGAAGAAAAAGATCACTAAGAAGAATCTAATCTTTCCAGAACAGTCTCAGGCTTGTACCAGTTTGAAGATCTTTACGAAGTTGGAGAGCAAGATATCACCAATAAGCCCAAGCATATAAAGCTGTAACAAAAGTGGCACAAGTCTCTCGGCAGTCGGTATTACCAGCTGAGTGATAAGGGGCAGACTGGATAATGATGTTGTGTTGTAGTGCTGAGATAACTCTGGAACTGCAAGCCTCATATAATACAGGTATTTTTCACTTTGGCAGCTTTGTAAACAAGATATCAAGAAGCTCTCGTTTAAATTAAAGCCATAAAAATGCACTCGGGGAGTCAGGGCAAGGAACAGCGGGAAGCAGAGGGGCTTGTGATGGCAGGAAGTCGGGCTAAGATATTAGTACTGAATATTGGCAATGCTGCTGCACTGTGCAATTTCAGACTGAGGGGGGTTTTCTATCTTTTAGATCACCTAAACATAACCTTCCCTTCATTCAAATACTACTTTATTGTCTGCCTGCTGGAAACAAGGTATCTCAAACGCCACATCTTATTCTGCCTCACAAACACCAGCAGTGAAAACTTATTCCTAACATGAAAGAGAAATGAGAGCAAAAATAGAGAAATAGAATTATGTATGTCTTCTTTTTTACACCCCTCCCAGCTGTATATAATTAGAAATGAAAACGAAGTGTAAGAGCTCCTACTCTGCTCCCAAGTGGAAAAGTCATTCAGAAGCCTTAATTTAGAGGAAGATGAGATATCTGACTCTGGGAACATGATTTATGGGATATAATGTCTGGACTTACCTTTAGGAAATGCTACCTGAAACACTTCCCTCATCCTGGGGCGGGTAGAAATCACAGTTACTAGCTCTTCTGAAAATCAACAGTTCGGAAACTAGCTCTTTATCAGCATTACTATCTGCATCATACTACAGCACACCAGTCAAAAAGTAACTCTGAGTACATACTCCTCTTACCTTAACTCCACAAAATGCACAGAGTAGGGAAGTCCAGACAAGAGTCTTTAACATCCCCACACTGAGTGAAAAATCACACTGTAAGATTTGGTTTGTATACAGTCAGAATGTAATGGTATTACTAAATCCCTGGGCTACTTCTCCTGTGATTTATACCATAATGCTTTCAAGTGGCCTTTTAGGTACAAAAACCCATCCTGAGAATGGCTCACAGGAGCCCTACATGAAAAGCTCCTCAAACCAAGTGAAATGAAGCTTTGCCTCTACATTTATGTTTGACAAATGCCTCGCCTTCACCTTGGCACTTATCCAGCAGCAGAGACTATTATCTGGTGACAACCCTTCCTCCATTGACGCTATCTCTAAAATAATATGAAGAATTGACATGATAAACCCTAATGCCTTCTGGATTGTGTCACTTCACAGCATTGAGACACTAATGAGAGGGGATCTTTGACACAATGCATCATAATGGCACCAAGCAGTAGAATCGACACACTATAGATGGGGACAGCCCCACAGGAAAAGTTTCAGTTCAGAAGCCTCTCTCTGCACTACTTACGGTGCTCAAGCTTCCAAACTGGACCAGGGGCATGAAAATCCTCCCAGTTTCAGGTGACAGCCCTAGTAGGTTAAAGCTACAGTCCAGGGCATAGAGGCAGTGCAGGAAGTTGCATTCCTCAATACCTCTCATCTCTTCCATAGAAGAATAGCGTGAGGTCTAGGACCAAAGGTCCCAAGATGTGACACTTCATTGCATGCCAACTGAAAAAGCACTAAGTGCTGGAACCTGCAGATTCTATGGAAAGCACATGAGTGCAAGAGATAAGGGGAGCTAACAAGTCATGCTGTTGCATGCAAGTAAGATGTCTCTTTCAGCTCTAGATAAACTCACAAGCAGGTGGAAATCAGACAGGGTAACGGGGTACTAAAGCAGCTTGCATTTAGGAAATGGTAAGCCTTCTGGCACAAACCCCCAGGGGCATACAGAGTTAAACAACTCTATAGTAACAGAATATGCAAAACCACAGCAACTCATCCCAGCAGACTAGAACTCTGGGGTCTCTTTACCAGTTCTCTTACAACGCTGTGCATACCTGCTTCATTTCTTGGGGTGTATACAGCATGGTTCGGATAATCATTACTCTATCCAGCAGGTCCAGTGGTATTCCGTGAGGAGACACTATATCCTCTGTGCCCCTAAAGGAGAAACCAAACAGAAAGAGATCAGATACTACTCTCTGAGTTCAGTCCACTGATTTGACTAAAATCAGTACTAAGTGACTACACATCTACTAGTTTACATTTTTTGTGTCTCCTTCCCACAGAGACAGGAAACATTCTAGTCTGAAGTTCATACTGGACAGCCTGAGGGAAACAAATACTATTTCTGGAGGTCTTAAACATGCCACTCAAAACCAGGTAGAGGTGGTGCTTTCCTGCATTGTATCTTACAATACAGTCTTAACTAATGTTCCAAAGTAATCCTCCAGCAAGGAACAAATGCATTCTCACTAAGTTGTTTAGCAGTATCAGTAGAAATTATATACGTTATCCATTTGGAGAACATCCCCTCTTGCTGAGTAAGCCAATACTGTGCTCAATACTTCCCCCAGTCCCTCCAGTGGGTACTGCTCTGCAATCCAGCAAATGGAGGTCTGTGCAGGAAGGATAGCGGGGTGTATAGATCCCCAACCATTTTATCTGCTGGACGTGTAACACCCAGGAGCAAAGGCTGCAGACACATCAGGGTTTTCCAAGCCCACCAGGATTTGCTCTGAAGTCAAGAGTGAAAGATAACCAGATTTCATGAGATCTATAGAGATTGCAGGTGAAAACAGTAAAGTGCTGGTAGAGAGCTACATTTCTAAGTCCAGCGCTAGTATTTAGGCACTGCAGCTTTGGCCATAGTCCTCCTTAGGAAATGAATCAAAATGCCCTGCAACCATCTGCTGTACTCTTGAGTAGATGGTGTTCTCTCCTCTGAAATTATTCCTTCTCTTCGAAGTTACAGGATTAACTATACTAGCTATACAATTAATTTTTAACCTGATCCTTTTAAGGGCCATCAGCAAGCAAATCAGAGCACTGCCAACTTACTTTCTTAAATCACTGTTTTTTCATAACAAGATCTGCAGTGAATCATACTGACAGATCTCTATTTACTCTACTTTTCCAAGACAGCCTATTTTTGCCAAGGGAGATCTGCAATGTCCACCTTAAACATTTCTGAAGGGCTTATCACCTTCACTTCTAAGCAATGCAAACAGAGAAAGATTAATACCAGATGAGTCACTAAGAGGGAAAGGAATAGCTGGTTACACAGCTGAATTAAATCAGTTTCAAGGGAAGCAATCATTGACAGCTTGCTTAGACATAATTAGACCTAGACCACAAATTAGCAGAACTTCACAAAAGAATCTGCAAGAGGAGAGCACTTTTACTGAACATGCAAAGAATGCATTGTGTGGGTGCTAAATATTGAAGTGGAGGCACGAACTGGAGTGGAGATGAAAAACAAGTTAGTTGGCAAGACTGAAGAATCACAGAAAGCCAGACCAACATAGTAGGAAAGAATGAAGAGCAGGGAGAGGCTGAACTGTGACACGCTTTAACAGTGAGAACAAGAAGCTGAAGTCTGACGCAGTGAGGACAGCAAACAGCAAAATAATCCAGAAGCAGCAGGAGACTATATTAGAGGTTTGTAGCTCTGGTGCTTTTGATGTCCCTAATGTAAAGCAACGGATGTGTTGAAGTATCCAATGAGAAAGGTAATTGTTACAGATCACCCAGAAAGACAATTTGGAGGCTGTTAGAGAGATGTGTCAGTGGAAATAAAAGGAGGAATTCTATTCTGCTTTAACTCAGTCAGCCTGGCATTAAATGCTTGTCCCATCAGAAAGCTCACAAGCAGTTCTTGAGCACTGATGCAGCTTGGAAACCATGCAGAGGATTAGCACAGGTGTAAATATCAGAGATAAAAGGCTTCAAAGATTCTAACTCTACCAGTAGAGGTAATTCCAAGGTTTATGGATGAATGCAAACTGGGAAATTCAAGTTTAGACATCATACCTGATAATACAATTTCCTCGATTGGAAGCAAAGATGACAATGGGGGAAATGGAAGATTCCAGTGCTCGGTGCAGGTATGTGAAACATTCAATATCCAGCATGTGAACCTCATCTACAAAGAGCACACCTGGGACTAGCTCTGCAATGCCTTGATCAATGTATTTATTTACCACCTTATTTATCTCTCCTCGAAGTTTGTCTGGAACAAAAGGAAACTGTTAGTTGTTCTGCTGGTGAACTATTGCTCTGTCTGAAAAGCTTATAGCAAGTAAAATTCTCTTTGCGTTTGTTCATGGTTTAGTATCTTATCATCACAGGGAAAATCTCTGTGACACTAAAATTCCGTGGCACTCAGCCCTGTACTGGGGACACATCTGAGCAACAAAATATTTCTACACTGAACTTGGGTCTTTCCCCTCATATGGCTTGTGAAGAACTACCACTTTTGTGAGATTGGGGAGTTCAGTGGTGGGGGAAACCTCAAACCTCACTTTAAAACATGAAACTTAAAGTTTCCAAGCACAGCTGAAAAGAACATCACTAAAAGATTAAAATATCGCTACTGTTTAAGTTGTGTTTAACAGAAAAAAAGTGTTATACAAATGTCTGTGAACATATGGATCTCAAAGCTATGCAAGATGTCACACTGATTAAATCTGACATCAGAATAAGCAAACTGACCTCTGGAACAGACAAAATACTTCAAAAAATCACCATTCATGTTAGGTATTGAAACAGACTTTGATCTAAATTTGGATAGTCACTTAGCGAAACATTTCTTTCAAAGCAAGAAGAATAGATCTTCCTGCAGATACTGCTTTTCTCCAATGATCTGTAGGTAGGAAGAGCAGCAGTGCATTTAGAGCACCAAGTCACCAGAGAGCTGCTGTACAAGTGTCCAAATCAAACCAATGCCGGAGTCTTTAGAAGCTGTTCTTCTACTCCACAGAGTTTCAGTGTGGTGGCTTCACATAAGAATACATCCTTACAGTGTTTTTTAGATTGTGTTTGCTGTTGCTGTTTGTTTTGGCTCTTTGTCAAAAGCATGAACCTCACACTCTGGCAGAACTGTTTCGAGAAGGGGGATGGCACTGCTGGTTTGACCTCCTTCTTCCCAGGAAGATGGGTACCCAGTACAGTATATGGTTTATCACTGTACGTATGAACCAGTAACATGCTGTCCTGTTTCCAGCTACTGCAATTCTAACAGTTGTAGAACTGCTTTTAGAAATCTGAGTATTTATGAATAAATATTACACAGGCATTCATTTGGAGGTGCTGCATAAATAACCCTATTCTTAATCCTTTTCTAAGTGGCAAACATATAAATTACATTGGTCTAAAAATACCATGCAGGATTCATACCAGTAATTTCAGTTTTCTTAGGCTTCATCAGTTGTCCCATCATAGAAAGGATGTCTTGCCCACCCTAGGAAAAGAAAGTCACAGGTCAGCTATGAGGTCTTGTAGTGAACACATTCCTTGAGAATTTTATAATGCAGGAATTGGTTAACTTGATTCTTTATCTCAGCAGTGGCTGATAATCTGTCAAAGGTTAGGTCTCTTCACTGCAGGAGTATTCTAAACATCATCATTTAGAGACCTCCTTGCTCTTTCGTTAGCCCTCTTCATTTGGAGAACATAGAAAACCAAATGAGATACCCTCTTTCAAAAAAGGTTTCACAGAGAAGCTCAAAGGACTGAAATTGTCAGGGAGCAGAGACTTGGATTGCCTGCATGCACAGCTGGTGCTCAACCTGTCAACATAGGAACAATTATTCTCAGTTATAAGACTTCTGAATAGCAAGACTTTTATCAGATAATTTTTTGTTGGATGCCAGCCTTTAAACCTGTATTGCTATACAGGTAGCTTTTTGTTTATGACACAGATGGAATTCCCTCACTACGGGGTGTACAGCAAGAAGTAATTCTCTTATTTCAGGGGTTTTTTTGCTGCAGTATGTTCAGAAATCTACTGAGGTCTTCAAGGTGTAACACCTACTGCTTTTCTGACAGTGGAATCTTTAAGGGTGATTTAGGACAGTTCAGCTACATTTCCTTGATTATTCGAGTATCCACCACAAATCTATGTCAAGTAATTTTTCTGTGAAGACTGCATCTGTGCTGTCATACCTGAGGTCGAGCATTGGCCACATCCAAGTCATGCAGGGTGACATCCTGAATAATTTCCTTTTTCTTGTGCACATCACCCTTTGGCAAGGGAACATACTCTTCAGCTTCAAGGTCAAATTCCGTGGCATAGATATCACATCTGCCTTGCCTCTGAGGAAAGCAAAGAAGAGAAACCCAGGTACAGAATTAGTTTCAGTGCCAAAACCTTGAGTGACATGAACTTGATAAAGGGCTTATTTCACAATTCCAGTCCTGACCAGCTCCAGCTGACAATTCATGCATCCCACTCCTTGCTTAGCAACAGGCATACCCTATCTACTGATCAAAGCTCAAAAACTCTGTTGAAAATCCCCTGATATTTTCAGCTGTAAGAATATTCTACTCCTCTCTTTAACTGTATGCAATTCCTGCTAAAGGACAAATCTAGCAGATTAACTAGAGATTGGAAGAACTGTTCAAGACTCCTTTGTAGGTGGGTGATTTATTGTATGATACAAAATATTATGCTCATCCATTAAACAGCAAATATCACTGTACACTACTTTCTACATAGATATGAAAAGAATGCTAACTAATGCAGTATTCCCTTCTTCATGTATATATCTTGGGGAGGAAAATGCCAGAGAGATAAAAAAGATTAAATGCACTGCACGTGTCAGCCTGAAAATAACTAAAGTTGCCTGGTTTGTCCCCCCTTCCCTTAAAGATGTCTTGATCTTATAGAAAAGAAAATTCATCCAGACAGCATCAGTGATAGCTTCCTCACCAAATGACCTTAACTGTGAACCAGATCACTGTGTTTGTTCACAAAAGAGAATTCTCTCTCCAGATAAGTAAAACACTGGGCTGTTTTATAAACTTCCATGTAACCATTGCATGTCAGTTAAGGTTAAGAAAACGAAGAGCCTTCTGACAGAGGCAGGGAAAGGTCTGCAAGAATACATACACCTGCATCAAAGTGCGGAACTTGTCGTTTACCTTGACAGCTCCACTGTTTGCTTCAATATAAATAACGTCACCGGTTTCCACTCGCTCCTTCTGCAGGCTTTCAAATATGCTGGGGTCCAGCTGGAGACAGGCAAATACCAGACATGGTCAGAACAGCTCCATGGTGTTATGGTAATCAAGGAGAAGAAACTGAGTCTAAAGCTTACTCCCACCAGACAAAACTAAACTGCAACTCCCTCCAACAATCCCTCAGGATTTTATACAGCTGTACCATTTGGAGTAGTGGGAGACAATGAATCTGAAAGAAGGTGCACAGAACTTTTCTTACCAAAGAAATCTGCTATCTGAAGGAAGTGATGGTAAGTGCCAGGAACATAATGGTACCAGTTCCTGTCACAAAATATGCCTTTGTGTAGTGTGTATTTATCTCTAGGATGCAGCACTTCTCTTGCTTTTTAGCAAAACTTTACAAACAAAACTGGCTGTAGAACTGAATTACGCTACTTCCTGAGCCTTTATCCTCTGCAGAGCTATGTGAGGGGGAGTGGCTGTGGAATACCTTAAGTGCTTTTGTTTCATGTACAGGTTTATTCGCTTCTGCTCTGCACTTCTTGTTTTGCGAATGAACAAAATGCAAGATGATACTTAACAACAAAGACAGCTTTCAGCTCTCTCCTACTGTAACTGACAGGGAAATTGAACAACATGGACAGAGACTTGTACAAGAAAACAAAGGGAAAGTGGGTCTGAGCTGGCAACATACCAGCTCCATTTCCCATTCCCTATCAAACATTCACTAGAGCACATCTCCTCATGTGGAAAGAAGGAATGTGACAGAACAATTTATACTGAAGCAGGTAAGATTTCCCAAAATCATTCTCAAAGATTCAGTTAAGAATCAGGAAAACAAAACCAAACAAGACCCTTCCAGAACATTTTATTATCATGATTTCTGAGACTCTACCATACATACCTTCAACTGTTTGGTTCCCTTTGCAGTTTTGAGACCTATAATTACATGGCTGATGGTTTTGCCATACCCCCCCATAGGATTTTCAGTCTCACATGGAGTCAGTTCTGTGACTTCTCCTTCATAAACCTCCTTTGTCTCCTTAATCCTCAGCCCTGCAAGAAATTGTTTGGAACAGTTTCAGCACACAGATCAACGGCCATACATCCTAATCTTTGGACCAAGAGAAAAGCCCTGCAAAGTAAAGAAAAAGACAGGAGAAAAAAGTAACTTCATAAAAACCCTTACATTTTGGCAATTGAGTTAAAGATAACAAACTGATGAACAGGTATTGTGTTAGAACCTGGTAAAACTAAGAAAAGGTTAAAGCATCATTTAAAATGTTTTTCAAGTGAAGAGCAAAAGGTGACATGGATTCATTTTAGCAGAAACTGCTACAATCCAAATTTGAAACTACTTTAAAATAGCTGACAATGACATCCTGTTTCAGACAGCCAAGCAATCACCCCAGTGCCTGGTGTCTTCTATTGTAGTCACAACTATTATAATTAACCAAGTTATTTAAAATTGATGAATACTATAGAGCTGAGGAGTTGTATGGTCAGATTGCTCCAAAGAAAACCCACCATCATCACCACCACCACTACTATTATGCAAACATTCTAACTCCATAAAAGTTCAAAGTATTCACATCTGAAGACACTCTATAAAGGATTTTATGAGACACACACATGCCAGACCAAAAATAATGAATGGGCTGTAACAAGATACAAGGAAGTCATCCTGCCCAGTCTGAGGCTACTGGGACTTGATAAAACTTTCTTTATTTCGTAACTTCTCTTTTTGCTTTGAAATAGATCAGACACTTCACCAGTAATCCTGAGCTGCTGAGAAGGGAATATAGAGAACTGAGGAACACGAGTCTGTCTCCCTCTACTGGACCCAGATTAAGGCTTGGATTTGAAATGAGAGGAATAGGTTAATTGTGGATGACATGGTAATTTCTTGGTGAGAAATGTTTGCTTTCTCTTATTTAGCACCACATACAAACTCCTCTAGAACCTTAACTTCAGTCATTTTTTAAGATGCTTTTCAGGTATATCAAAACATCAAACAATGAATGAACCCTTGAGTTACAAACCTGATCCAGACCAGGCTACATCTGCAAGGAAGGTGAAGCAATATGGGAACCTGTACAGGAGAGCTGGATATTCACACATTTGTTTTTCCTTTCTGTTTTGTTTTTAAACTTTCAGCACAAGCTTTATTCTGCTCTGAAAAACTGGAAGCCCATTTGTGTTTAGGGTATACCTAGCATATCGTCCAGTTTCATTTCACCTGAAAAGAATCCAATTCACGCACTCAGAGTCTGTTCCACAACACAAACCAAAGCCAAGTCAGTGAGGACAACTTAAGAGATTTGTTTCTAAAGCACGCCTCTAATCTAAACTAATGTGCTCATATAGATGTGCCTATAGAAAATACTTACACATGAACATGATGTGAACAAAGGTAACTGATGCTTTGAACTTGCTGCTGGTTATCCTTTGTTTTCAAATGAACCTACACTGTATTGACAACAAACTTTACTCTCAAAAGAGTACTTAAACTTAAAAAGAGACATCTCCTACTTACAAATCAGACACATGAGTTTTGAGAAGGCAGCTTTGGGCTATTTCATGTTTGGGTTCAATAGCACTACGTGGAATTACATAGTGCTTGTTTGATTTACTGGCAGTTACAGTTTGGAGACACAGGGAATAGATATGCTTTTTAAGTAGCTATCCAGAAGTTATTTATTACTGCAACTGAGCTCTAACATTACCTACTGTCATCATCCCTGCCAACTGCTAATAAGCTCTATAGAGGATTTTAACCCATACAATTCCATCTTCTCATTTCCCACTCCACCCTTTTATGTTTCTGACATATTATAAAATCTCCACTATACCCCAAACAGCCCTTGGCCAGGAGGCTATGTCAAGTCTGTTATTAAAAGACTCTCAGCAATAACGATTCTGTAAACTCAGAGTCACTCCTCTTTCCTTATACGATGTCAAGTCCAAACCAGTCAGACTCTGTTGTTTCCAAGTAAAAAATGGATGTTAACATCTGTGATAATTTTTATAAGAGGAGGTGGCTAAACCCCGAGAGTAAAATGCGTAATATGGCAGCAGATGATGTGTACAGAACCTGCTAAAAGAATTGTACAAAAAACACCCACAAAACCTAAATGAATAGGTACCAATTGCCATGTGAGCTGAAGCTTCTCCTGCACCCTGTGCACACAAAATCACTCTTTTACAAACACACCCTTGTAAATTATTTATCTACCAAGCAGGGAAGCTAAAACATACCTGAGATTTAAACACAATTGGAAAGTGTTCCAGTAAAACTACTGGTGGTTACTGGTCCTTTAAAATATTTCAGAGTTTTGGGGTTTTTTTACATTGATAAAAATATTCAATAAAGGTTGTGTTATGAAAATGTGACATGGAATTCAACAGAAAGGAATAAAAGAAGTTCCATCTTTCATTAGCACTAGTATTTGTTTAGAAGCACCTCCCTACTGACATTCGGGGAATGCAGGGAACTAACAATGTAGCTGGCTGTTAAACCTCAGAGAGTTAAAATACTGCTGTCTCTAGAAATGACAACATGGACGGCATAAGTTTCATCTGTTGGCTCAGGTTTCCAAAACTGACAGGGAACTTCATCACATCAAGGAAATTCTACAGACTACTGAGTCTCTGGATTCCCTCCCCCAGGCCCTGCCACTTACACGGTAACTGGAAGTACTGGGCAAGACTGAGATCTGTTTTCTTATCAAAATCAACAGAATTCTTTTGTTTCACTGTAGAACTGAGAGAGTTCTTCACCTTACTGCCACCAAATCCTTAAGTGAAGTCCAAGGGGAAACATGGTACAGAAAGCAGTTAACTGCTAATATGTTCAGTACTACAATAAGCTCAGCTATCTTTCACCAATCCTCATACAAACAAGGGCCACTTCTAACTGCATTTATCAGCTGTCAGCAACAATCATAGAAGAGATTTTAGATACTCCTTCAGGTTGTGTTGCAAATCTAACTAATTTCCATCAAGCTTGTAAAAACACTCAGGAATTGAGGAAGACATTAAAGTATTTATCTTGTTGGCATGGAACTTTGTGCTCGCTGGACACTAAGTCAGACTAACACTGCCTTTGGGAGCCCCTGATTAAGCCTGTTTGCTTAGCAGGGTGAAATCAGTAAAATAAGAAAGGAGAGAGCATTTTTCTGTCTATACATGTTTCTGTTAATACAAGAAACTAAAAATAGTTTTGCTTTCAGCTTTATTCAGAGTCATAGGTAAAACAAGGAGATAAACTTGGAGGATAAGAGGGGAATCTGGGGACGTAAAATAAACCATAATACAACAATTAAATTATGGCTTATAAACAGAACTCCTAACTGCACCAAGTGGGAAAGATTCACTAAATTAAGACCAGCACTGAAAAAAAGAACATACAATAATCTGAAAAGCACCATGACCGCTGAGAAGCTTCTCCCTTTTAGATGAGTACAAAACACCAAGTCAGTATCATGTAAGTACTTAATTCTTCTGTTTTGCTGAAACTTACCAATGGCCCTGCGGAAGTTTTCCATCAGCACTTCTGTTTTCTTAATCTCGGTGGAATAGACCTCGCTTCCAACCATGGGACAGAAGGGAACTTTGCTGCCAAGTTCCTGAGCAATAGCTAAAGCCAAAGCAGTCTTAAACCAGAAACAAACCCACAGATTAATTTTTATGAGAATTATCAAAGGATTCTTTCTGCACAAAGTCAACTTTCCTCAATTTCTCATCTTCCATACACCAACTATCAATTTAATGTTAAGACTATTTGGCCTAATGTGTATTTCTCACATATAATAATGCTCCTCCCCCCAAATCAAGTTAGACACCTATAAAGTGACTTTTATCAATGACTTATAAAACACCTTAAAGAAGCAATAGTGGGCATTTGAACTTGACATCTGACACAAATGCAAAAAGCCTTAAATAGCACAGGGAAAAAATACCCAAACAAATGAAAAGCTCTTTAGGCTTTTAATACAAAATTAACTTTTAGGACTCTTCTTCAGTGTCTGGTAACCTACAGGAGGTGGTTTTACACTACTGATGCCTGAACACACCACTGAATACTGCCAGTGTTGATGACATGGCAAAAATCAATATATAAAGCAGGAAACCATGTCACTGCACTGATGAAGGAAATTCCAGTAGGCGCAAAGATGATGCAACTGCTCTCCTAAAATTCTTTTGACAAATTATTAGAAAATAGGTTTGGGAATACTTCATATAAAAAATAAAGGAAAATAATACCTTGCCAGTTCCGGGAGGTCCTGCCAGCAGCACAGCTCTGCCAGCCATTTTCTTGCTTTTGATCAGTTCCACTATAACCCCACATGCCTACAAGTTAAATATTTAAACCGTTAATGCAAGTATTTTTATAATATCTTTCATGCCACTATTACTGAAAGTGTTTAGAAATATTTGGCTTTGTGAGCCCACTGAAAATACAGATAATTTCAATTCTATGCACACAAAGGGAGGCAAGATCAGAAAAAAACCTACTTCCTACAAGATTTTATCTAACACAGATATTAAAGAAAAATAAATCGGAGACTACAGAACTCAGTCTCGGAGCACAGCCTCCTTCCACCTTCCTGGAGTTTCACCGTCTATGAAGATTTTAAAATAACCCAGGAAATGAGTCTTCGGCTCTGATCGGCAGATGAGCTGCAGCACCGGCCCCGGGCCAGCCAGCGGGCTGAGACGGAAGCTCCGCTCTCCACTCGCACACAACCTCTTGGCTTTTTGATGGGTTCTATTGCCTCCGACACCTAAAGCCCGCGGGCAGCACCC